AAATAAATAAATAAATAAAACAGAATTGCCTTTCAAGGCAAGGATATACGAAATGCATGGTATCATCAATATTAGTGGCTGGGCGAAAACCCTTTGCTTTCCTGTACTTCTTGTTGTTCTTGTTTGACTGCACAATTTCTTTTGTCAGGAAATGCGGTACCATGCTTTTTGTATGACCAAATTCTCGTTAGTAATGTGTGTTATTTTCCGATACCATTCATATTGACGTTTTTCATCCACATTGATGGTTTCAAGGAAAACTTCATATCCTTGTGCACAAAATTTCTTTGTGGATAGGGCAGTTTTTCTTGTGTTTGTGAATAATAATACTTATAATAATTATTACTATAAAAAGAAAATAGCAAGAAAGTAAATCATGTTAGTTGCCTGAACATATAGACCTCCTGCCATTCTTACCAGAACTTGCAAACGCGAGTTTAACCTCAAGTATTAAAAACTGTCTTTAATTGATCTTTTGTTATAATGACCTTAGGAATTAATGGTCTCTCTAATGTAGACCTTTATGCAGCTCGTTTCGAGTATTTTGCAAATGTACATTCCTGCCTAAGATTTGGCGTAATATTCTGGGGAAGCTCATCAAGTAGAACCCAGACCTTTAGTTTGCAAAAGAAAATTATTCGAATAATGAAAAAATGCCGTCCGCGTGATCTCTGCAAGCCTCTCATTCTTAGAGCTTGAAATCTTACCATTGCATTGTCTATTTGCTTACGAATCTGTAATATGTCAAACCTGACTTACTAAACGGTGGGAAATACTGATATGCATAATTACAACACACGTCGTAGAAATCACGTTCATTAAGTTTCAGTATCAACAGCTCACTATCAGAAATTCACATACAATACATGTACGTCACTTAACAACGCATTGCGAGATGACATTAAATTTGTGAACAGACTTCAGTTGTTTAAGTTAAAGTAAAATATTTTCTGCTGCATAACTGTTTCTATATAATTCGAAATTATACTGGTCATAAAAAAGAAAAATAATTTTTCACAAAGCATTGATATATAATGTATTAATTTACATTTTGTATATAATTAAAAAAAATCTTAATATGCCTGTGACAAATAATGTACTTTAGCTTCCGGGTCAATGACTCCCATCTATCAGGTTTTTGCCCAGATTTCCTTATATATTGAGCAAATGCTGAGATGGCCCCTTGATTTGCTTCTGATCGTAAATGTAGCTTCACTATGCGCACGTTTTGTTGAAGTCTCCTTTTTTTGCAGTGGTGGGAGTAGAGGTAAGGGCGAGTTACTATTTTGTTAATCTCGTTCTTTTTTAAATTTTATTTATTTATCTGTAACTTTTACTCATCTTTCAGTCATTTATAGTTAGAGTGATGGGAAGGTATTCTGGAACTCAAGAAATCATACGTAGATTTTCTCTCCCATACATCACAAATGTAAACAAGCCAGAATTTAAAAAGAAAATAAACATGAAATGATAACAAATAGTAAATAATATAATCCCTGTTGTTTGAGAGAAATCTAACAAACATTTTCGTACGAAGTCAATATTCCATGCCCGTCGCCTCTTCATGTGCAAGTGCACACAAGTTGCCAGTGCTCATACGAGCGCTGCAAGGAGCTCGTGCGGGAGCGGTTTGACATGCCTGCTTAGATAACTTGATGTCGCATGCTGGAATATTATTGATTTGTTCCTGTTAGGGATTATCCGTAGTTTGGTACTTCATTGACGGTTTTCACCCTTTTAATATTAAAATTAAGCAATGAAATTGAAAGGAAATCTTTCTCGAGAGCATTCTTACGATTTATTGAGACTCAAGTGCAAATTCTCCCTTTCACTCGCCAATTCGTCGATAGGTCGATTCGTAAACCCTGAAGTTTTGGACGTCCTCCTATAGATAAAATTGTCTTCTCGCATTCTGTTCACGTGTGCGAGTCGCCAGAGCATATGCTATTCACTTCTAAGTGGCATGAGTCCTATCGCGAAAGTGTCTCTATTGTATTATAATTGACCGGCGATTCCGGGCGCGTCAACTGCTAATGTCATTACTCCCGTAAGTGTAAAGCATGTTTTATCGCAGAAGATGGCGATGACCTCCTCTGCTGGATGGCGAGATTCGTCGGCGACCTGTCGGCTTGCCGGGTTTTCCCTAACCAGTTATCTCCCGCCATAGAGAGCAGAATACAGACAAGTTTCCTGTTGTGCAAGGTGTAATGAGCGACAACTTCCATTTGAAATCGAGAAGGCCGTGTTAACGAAGATGTGTGACGAACATAGTTTCTTCACCTGAGAAAGTGAGTCGATCTACATAGCAATTACTGAACGTTTTAATGATTTTGAAAGGAAATAAGTACTGTTCTGAAAACTTTGAGTCGTACATTACGTACGAGTGAGTGGGTTCCGAGCGCATCAATTACTTCCGTCAGTATTTCCGTGTATGTAGAGGTGGGATTACCAACGGGCTCTACATAGACCCTCCCGAGGGGTCGATAACATTTTAAATAGGGTTGATATCCAAATATACACCCTCAACTGATTGCTATAATAAAGTTCAACATCCCATTGACTACAAAAATACTTATGAATTATGTTATTACAATTATTATTACTATTACTATTATTATTACTATTACTATTATTATTACTATTACTATTATTATTACAATTAATATTATTATAAATTATTATATTTAAGATAGTTTTCTGCAATTTTTTGTACTATAATAATTTTATATGCCGTATATTACAGAAAAAATTGAAGGCGTCAAAGCAAGAAAAAAAGGCTGGGAAAACGATATTCCGAGAAGGAAAGGTGATTCTCCTCAGCTGGACCGTGAGATCCAGTATTAGGGGCGGAACCAGCCGATCTTTTTGTGTGTGTGTGTGTGTGTGTGAGTGTGAGGGGGGAGGGGGGAGGGAGAGACATGGCAGATTTTTGTTAATTAATAAACATATTTGTTATATTGCATATTATTTATGTACTGTAAACATGAAACTGTACCATATTATTGTTTAAATAATTTGAATAATAAAATATTTAAATCAATTGTGCGAAGTAAGTAAGGTAAAAGAAAACTCGGGACCTTTTGGGGGGCCGTGGCCCCCATGCCCTCCCCCCGTCCCTCAGGATCCGCCAGTGTCCAACACTGATGTCCACGTCGGCTAGCGGGGTATCTACCTCCAGGTATCTCCGCCACAGGGAGAAGCTGCCGCCTTGTCCCTCCACAAGCACGAAGCTACCGACTAGTCTCCCCACAGGTGTGGTAGTATAGGGTACGTAGCATGTGTGTAAGGGCGATCGGTCCGTGGTCCGTTATTAGGGCACTGCTTCGGCATATGCCAGGCATTGATAGGAAAACTACCAATCAGAGCAGGTGACCGCTAGAATTCTCCTAGAAGTGCTTCAAGCCGATTCAGCTGGCGTCAAAACCCCACCACCGTCAGGCCCCAAAACCTAGGCGCTCCCGATCAACGATACTGCAAAGACAACCGTGCTATCGTGTAGCCGCTCTAAGTTTGCGGAGACCTCAACGAATCACTGCAAGAAAGCACTGCAGCGGGGCGCGCCGACCGTGTGTACATTGCGTCCACATCGAGTGCCTACGCGGGCGGAAGCGCGGGTGGGGGCGGGGACGGGGCGGGCGTGCGAGAGGGGCGGAGCTTCCCCCGCCACACCGCCGAAGCAGGTGGTGGCGGCGGCGGAGGCGTGTTTGCTGCCACCTGCCCGCGCGCCCGCCCGCACCTTGCTCACCGTGCCGCCGCCTCCACCGCCACCGCCGGGAGCGGCCACGTCGGCCGCCGCCGCCGCAGACGTAGAAAGCAGCTCGCTCACGCGGACGCGATCCGAGCGGCGAGCGGCGCTGCGCCCGAGTCATCGCCAGTGCCGGGGCCGGCTGCGACCGTGGTGGAGGCGGCGGCGACAGCGGCAGCGCGGGCGCCCACTTTCCACGTGGAGCAACAGTCCAGCACCATGGCGGCCACCATCACCATCGACGACGCCGGTGGCGGCGCCGGGCTGGCGGTGATCAGCACCAAAGAGGGAGGCCCGGAGATTCGCAGGTATGCGCGCCTTCGACACGCGAACGGCAGAGGTTGGCCGTGCAGGGGGATGGCAGTTTTTGTTAACGAGCGTGAAATGTCAGTAGTGCAATATTGAACAACAAATGCTCATATCTAGGAGCGTTGTGTAAAAGTGACGCATTTCATTCAATCTGTTTTTCTTTGAGAATGCACCGTAATGCGGAAAAGGAAAAAATGTTAATGGAGCGGTTAATTTAAATGTTGATAAAACAGACTTCTGACAGGCATCTCTACCTTTAAAGCCAGTGAGTGTCGAAATAATCTCATCGACAGGGCTATAAATGTAGGTTATAGTTTTACTATTCAACCGAAATGGTATTCTGAGATTGGAATGATTTTTTTTTTAATTCTCCGCGATTAAAAGAAGCATACAATTTTTCGATTTTTTAAATAAATTTTTTACTAGTAACATTATGAGAAAATAACCCTGACACTTTAAATACCTCTTTTGCTGCCATCCCCAGCATTTTGTTTTCTCACGAACTCGTTTGCCACGAGTTTTTGAGAGCATGCGATGAAAGGAAGCACGTTGCGAAAAGAAAGTAGGGCTAGCTAGTGCTACAAATTCTGAGCGTTCAAGATCAGTAGTGTTAGTGAGAACGTATGCTCTTCGTGCTCTCTAATATTTCCAATGAAATATGATTATTCTCAAATTCGTTACTATTCTGTGATTTATTGATCGTCAAATTATTTACAAATAATACCCGTTGACTGTCAAGATTCTGCAGCATTTCTATCTTGCGTGGAGCTGAACTCCCCTTATAAAAAAATAAAAAAACGTAACAAACCAAATATTAATTTTGCAAATAAAATACAAGAAACAAAATTTTAGGAAACGTACAATTTTTCTCCGCTTCAATATAAAAAAAAAACAATACACGTCTTTCTCCCTCTCCAAACAAATTGTGCCTCCCGTTCCTGCTGTCACGTTCAGCACGTGTCTCGTATTCCTCAGTTCCGAGCCTCTCGCCTGCATTCCTTGCGCGGCTTCTGAGAAGGCAATGTAACTGATTTTGTGACGAAACGTTTTGTGCTGATGTGCAGAAAACAGAAAGGTTAACAAAGAACACCTGCCTACGAGTGAGCATCGATTAAGTATTATGTAAAATATACTTAAGTGTCACTTCACCTTTTCTGAGATGTGCACGAAAGTATGTAACAGGAAATCTACATATTTTTTTTACATTCAAGGAGATAGGTTATTAAATATATAAATATATCGTTTGTGAAAAAAGGTTTTTAAACATTTTCGTTTTTCTCGGTCCAGTCAGATGCATGCAATCACCTGATGGTATAGGTAAAATGGATTATAGTATTTTTGAGACGGTTTGGTTTATCTGTTTAAAGGTTCGTGCACCTAACGTTAATATAAAATATTGCTTATCTGTCAGTCAGATAATACAAACATTGAAACGTTCACACTTCGTTGTTCCGATTCCCAAGTGCGATTTTTGTGTATCTGAAATGAAGTGAAGGAATATTGAATCAAGTGGCATCCCAGATTTCAGGTTCTCGAAAGGTGTTCTTTACCGATCGTCACCAACGAGAAAAGAACGCCACGCGAAACGATGGCTAGAACCTACGTATAAACTACGAGGAATTGAATAAAAAGAGTTAATTAAATAAAGATTTGATTTTTCGCGATATATTTATGAAATGCATACATATTGTAATTTCTTTGCGAAAAAATTGTTCGTATGGCGCAAGGTCAGTTGTCAGGTAATGATTCGTAGTGGTCCCCGTGTGCGTGGTATATCTCTCTATTGCTCTGCCAAGTTATGAATAATCCAGGATCAAGAGACGTGAACCAAGCCCTTTTTCTACACATTTAAAGAGGCCCATACGATATACATGCGACACAGTAGCACGTTGACAAACTTTCTCCGTTGGAAACAGTCAGGTCACCTCACTTGACAGTTGACATGCATCGGCCAAACAGTCTTTAACCAGTTTCTTGAAGCGGGCGATACTGCAATATCTAGTACTAAAGAACAGATTTACTGCCATTTGTACACACCGCGAGGGGAAAGGAGTATTTATCCACTGTGAAATTCGCGAGAGTTCCAACACTCATGTCATTTGCACAAAAATGAACGGATTCTCAACGAATAACCAAATGATATTTTTCTACCGCGGTCAGTTTAGTGATATACTACACATAGCATCTTAATCAGTATTGTGATAACTAACAATGAAGCTTTATTGTTATATTGAATTATGTGTCTATATTAAAGAAGATGGATTGTTTAAAAATTATTAGCACTAAAAATTGTTAGCATTAAAAGCACCTGCATTGTAAGGAAGCACGCAATTGCTTCCACAAAAAAACTAACATAACTTCCGGTCGCCGTCGTTTCGTATCATATTAAAAAGCGAATATATTCGAACGAGAAATCATCTGGAGCCCTTGGTACCCTAGATCTCGCTCAGTGGGTTCCGTATTTATATCCGGGCCTACCAAAGGCTGAGAAATCGCCCGCCTGCATCCCGAAGTTACTTTTCCCTCGTCCCCCGCTTTCTAGATAATTCCCTTTCACGTTTCCTTAGCTGAGAAGGCGCAGCCCGACTGCATCCCATTTCCTTCATACTTTATTTCGAAAGGAGTAAACCTTTTTTTTCTCAAGTTTGCATTCATAAGTAGCGCAATTAGATGTTTTCGCACAAGTTCAGAGAAAAGTCCGATCACAGGTGAACGTGGCAGAATCTTCGAAATTGTGTATGCTAAGCCAACGAGGTAAGAAAATGTTCATGATTTGTTTCCACCAACTTTTAAGCGGTGGTGCAACGTTGCCAGTGCTCTAAATGGGCATACAAGTGTTTCTTGAAAACAGACCAATAGATCAATTATACTAGATCAATGTAACTAAGCAGACCACGATAAACTTAAAAATCAATCCTTGCACTACGGAGGAAACTTGAACGGGATGCCATTTTGGGGAGGTAGGTAAAGTGCTTGTAAAAATCGACAGCGGAATGCTGTCGGTATACGCCCCCACCCACTGGGCCCCGTATTTAAACCCGAGCCTACCAACGGTCGCTTGCCGGCGGACGTAGCGCAGGGCCCCATTTCCGGTCGCGGGGGCGCCGCCGATGCGCTGTCCTGGCGCCCGCTGCCGCTCCCCCCCTCCTCCTCCATCGCCACCACGCTCCCGGCAAGCTCCCTCACGAGCGCCAAGACGGGGCGTATACTGACTGCATCCTGCTGTCAACTTTTCCTAATCCGTTTACCTACCTCCCCAAAACAGCACACCGGGACGGAATCACGACTCGTTTTCCTCCTTAGCCTAATAATTCATTTCTACGTTTACCGTGGTCTGCTTATTATATTGACCGGTTATAATTGATATTTTCAAGAAAAAATTGCACGTCCTTATAAAACCTAGTCAACATTCAAAACCACACTTAAAAGTTTGTGGGCATAAATCTGGAAAACACCTATCACGAGCTTCATTTTATCCCGCTGTCTTAACATACATAATTGCGAAGATTTTGCCTTGTTCACCTGTGTTCGAGTTCTCTGGGCTGGTACGAGAACATGTATTTGCGCAACTTTTCAATGGAAACTTAACAAAAATTTTTACTCCTTCCGAAACACCGGACGACTGAAGCCGAATGCAATCAGGCCACGCGTTCTAAGGTAACGAAAAGTGAAAGGGGATCCGCTGAGAAGCGGGGGTTAGGGAAAACTGGCTGCGGGATGAGGCAGGGCGAATCCCGTCTTGGCGCGCGCCATCTCCTCTTCCACCATCGCCGCCGCCAGGCCCTCGGCCAGCTCGCTCACGTGCGCCAAGCCGCCGCCCCGCCGCCGCCCCGCCGCCGCCCCCGCCTCGCGACAGGCGGTTCAGCTGTTCCACTTTCGCCCGCAGACCCAATTTTCCAATTCCGCTCCTCACACGCGCATCCATGTGCGTGTGTCATTGCCGCTCGTTCTTGTGTATTCACTGCAGCGGCGCGTGCTTCGTGCATCAGGATGTGACGTGCGTTGCCACGGGGAATGAGGTACATTTGTATAGTAGGTCCACTTACACGAGTTTTAAACGACGTCTTTTTTTTATCTATCCTCAGTGCCTACAGATGTATGTAAGAAAACAAACGAATGTAATAGTAGCAAACACAATGCAAATTATTCATATTAAATGATATTACTTAGTAAACATTGCAAATCAGACACGAAGTTCTACTAGTTGGATCCGTGTGAAACTTCTGCATCTTTGTAAATCGTTGTTTTGGGAGTGAATAGTTTGGAAAGGTTAGGACCCGGAAGTAAGAATGCATGATGTCTTAAGCTCTAATTTCCCTAAATGAAAAAGCAGTGGGGCTTTTGGTTATTTCGGCGTGAATATGATTGTGTTAAATCTTTAGTTTGTTTTTATGCAAATATTTTCTATTACACGGGGAAGGAGGAAATTCCGATTTATCAAGAGTTTATATGGCGTTTGTTGGTATCTTTTAATTACAACTCAACTATGTTTTTTAGCGTGGGAAAGGGATTTTGAAGATCAAAAAATAGCGCGCGTATAATAGAGGGCGTAGGGGGTAGATTAATCATGCGCTTAGGGGTAAATTAATTGCCATTAGTTTTTGCTTAGAAATGCTGACAATGAGAATATTACAGTTAGTCACAAGCAATTAAATTGGCCGATTATCAACCAATCACTTTATCTGTACATAAAATCTCAAAAGCGGTTATTTTCCAAAAATGCAATAGACGCTCGAAGAAAGATCTCTGTAGATCATAGCTCCAGAAACATAGCTCTTATCCTTCCTCCCATAGAGCTCCGAAAACTCGCTATCATAGGCCTAGGACGCACAGTAGTCGTGTTAGGCACGATTCAACTTTGTAAGCTGTGTTCCGAATTGCGTGGGCGCCTGCTAGTATCTTTATTGCGTAATCAATTAGTTGTCATTATCTGAGGAGTGATTCTTATCCAACAGATTTGTATCCGTGGTTTCTTGTAGATCGCAGAAGGGTAATCATT